ACATTTATTTCACAATCCAATTTTCTTTGAATCTCGGTGTGACTACTCAACACATATTTAAATTGTTGAGCTTACGCGACGTTGTTATACAACTTTTATTCGGCTAACGTTTCGACGTCTTCGTCTTCATCAGAGCCGATGATCCGAGTCGACGGTCAGCAGTCTTCGCCTTCTCGATTTGGTGTTTTCGTTTTCATATCGAGGCGGATCTTCAGTGCAGCGCCGCTCAAATGAGGGAATTTCATCCGGCAATGTTTTTTTTTTTATGGAGAACGACTGTCATTGATATGATTGTCCGCTGATAACTACTTATTTACTTCTTTTGCCCTAATATTCATAATTGAGCGCTCGTGCTACATTTCGCCAATCTTCTTCAATGTTGTAATTTCCATGAGACGTATAGCAGTGTTTTTGCAAGAGAAGAACTTCATGAAGGTAACAGTATCAGTGATAATTATGATCGATGTGCATTTTCGCATGGCTGTTTCATTTTTTCTGGGGTATCACTCACTAGAAAAGAGCCCAATTGTTAATCCTCACTCGCTCCAAGTGTTTATGAGCAAACACGTTGGTGGAAAAACTATGAAAATACACGTACACGTGCACCTAAAATTTTATACGAGCTACCTAGCATCTGTGAGATTAGTTGTTACACTGCCACGGAGAATAGCTACGGAGAGCGAGCTAGTTCGTTATACGCTACATCAGCCCTAATCCACTGCTAATGATGAAGTAACTTCACAGGGTAGTATAGAACTCTCCATTCATCACTGTTACTCGCTAGAATTGCTCAATGGATTTCACTCGTCTGAGGGACGCAAAGTTCTCTATAGATGTCCTTTATGTGATTGATCTGTGCGAGGTTATTCACAAGGCTACATGGCACATCCCCAAAAGACAGGTAAAGGTCAGGTTTGTACCAAAAACGAGCATATTTCGTAACACATTCACTGAATAGAAAATGAATTAAGAGAATAGGCTTTCTGTTTATGCTGAGGACTGCTTTACATATTCCGTGGTACGCTGTTTTGGCTAAGAGCTTTCAGTCAATTGCATGAGAAACGCGAGCAGCAGAAAATATTTGCAGGATAGACCGCAGTGGCACAGAAAGATAAAGACATTAGATGAAGCACAAACACTGCTTTGAATGGACTGCAATGTTGGAACATACATCTGCATCGCATTTTCAAAATATAAAACCCGGCATATCGTCTCTTTATGTCGTTTCCTTGTGGATATATTCCATGGTATGGTTTTCGGGTTGATTGGCACGTGCTGTTCAGAAGACTAAATGACCTCTAAATCGTTTCTTAGAAAGGAATACAGTTTCTTGTCGCAAGTTGCGAACCCGTCCTTCCATACTTTTTTCGTAACACATTCGTATGGTCGTCCAAAAGCTGGCATCCTGTTGGGATCCACTCTACCACTCCCCTCATGATTTTTCTATCGTCAACCTCTCTCCCCACTTTAGGCCTAAAGGATAGGATATATGCAGAAAGTCTGACGAACGGAGTCTTTGCCGATGTATATGACGGTAATATCTCAGAAAATGTTGTTAGAATACAGAATGAATGAGTTTTCTGAAAGCTCTGCCACGATGATCGAACGTAATAGAGTTTTATCTGGAATGTTATGTAACGATGAGTCTGGTTAGTACATGGATCGCTGACTCGGAAATAGGTTGTGTTCAGATCTCTCTCACTTAACATTCTCGCTACAGTGTCCTAGCGTCCCATGCCAACCAAAATGAACTCATTTCTGACCTTTCCACTTTTCATAATTTCGGTATCAAGTATTACAGCAGAAATAAAACACCTTGAATTTAGGTGCCTTTCTTTGTATTAAAAGTGTAAATCATATGTGTACTTTGAGAACTACGATAAGTAGTCAGATAGCCAACACCTTACAGTTTTAATGAGCGATCTGTGTGGTTGATTTTTGAACGAAGTATTTTTTAATGGTTGTAACTTACGACACAAATTATTTTTTTATTGATTAGTTGTTTGTTTCAACGTTAGAACTCAATCCCATGAAGCACTTGATTATGGAGTTGTTTTTGGCCCACTTGGGATAAGACGCCAATACGAGGAATATCGTTCGTGTTTAATCATTTCTGTGAAATCTCAAAAGGAAGAAGAACGCAGAATGTTACTACAATATATGAGTAGACACCAATCGATGTGAATTTGCCATGGCTGTCTTTGACTTGGTTTTTCGTTTCTACCCCGATCGTATTGCGAACGTTTCTCGGACGAATGACTACTGGCTGATGGACGGGCTGGTGTCGGCTGGCCAGCTGCTCCATTCCGACAATCCACTGAGGTCAACATGTCCCTTGCGAACAGGCGATCAATGGAAATTGTCCGTGCTGTCTCTCGTTGAATGAGGAAGTGTACAGGAAGTGCACACATTGATCGAGCCGTACATTTGTACGTATATATGTTTGAATGCAGTAGGGACATCCGAAAACCTAATCGATATATATCGGTTATGATCGTGAATCTTGTATTCTTCTCCTCGACCTATCGTAGATTTTGGCTTTAGGCTTTAGCTGTAAACTTTCCTCACTTGCATTCACCGTCTCGTTATATTTCCGATTCGTTGTCACTCTCTCTCATGAACGTCGTTCCTGACGATCGCTTTTATTTTTTGTATGGTCTATGAATTTAACACCAAGTGAACAACTGCTTCCTGCAGATACTGTCTCTTTTCGCTGTCGAAATTCATACATTTGTTGAGGACGCCTTTCCTCCAGGCTCTAGAGAGCTATGTGGACGCTGTCGTTTTATTTCACTTCTGGTAATACGAACATTCCGTTGATATTTTTTTTCAGTCGTGGAATTTTTTATGCTTATTTGTTGCGAAGACATGGCAGACTCTGGGTGTATTGGCTGTTGTGATGTTCGGCTTTCTGCTGATTGTCGGGTGAACGTCACCTGCTTTTCGTCGAGTGCGCTATCGCTGCTGACGTCTTACAATGTGTCCGAAATGGCCTGTGTTTAGTAACATAGCACAGAGTTTAGAACAATAGAGAGAAGTGGTTAAATGTTTCATTGTTAGTATCAGCTTGACTGATGGAGCATTCCAGTGATGAGATCGAGTTAAAGCCGAAATATACCTAATGCTGGACTGTATGTGTATAGCGCAGTTGTTAGAGATGCCGTGCAATACAGACGTGGTCTTTGGCTCGATAAGGCAGGCGTCCACGGCTAACCAAGCACTCACCTCCAGTCGGGGTCGGATACTCGGTACCAGGGTTGTTTTTGAAGGTAACAGCACTGAGTTGATACACTAGTAGGACGTCACAGATCATTACATAAACCAGATGTGCATTTAATCACTTATACGATGATGATGGGGTTAAAAGTACATCGTGCATCTTCAGAGATTGCTCGACGGCGAGCGCTTCGTCCTTCTATCCGCTGTACCCGTTTTCTTGAGCATGAACTGAACTAAAACATCACCGTTATCCGTTAAAAGAATTTCCTTCGACAGCATACTGGCGTTGTAGTATCATGTTACAGGACGGCTGTATTGTTACATCTGAAGCTAGGGTGCAGGCATTATGCCAAAGTCGTGTGGCCGTGCTAAGCGCTGCCTATTCCCTTTGACATTAATTCTCCGTTCATAGGGTTATTTAAACATTGTATAGTGATATATTTCAGCTGACTTTGCTTCTATTTCTTCTTCACAAACTTGTAAACGGAACTTTTTTTACTCGACCCGTGTTTCACTTCTACTGTGCAGGTCCCAGGACATGTCACATTCGATTTGTTTCTTTTTTTGTAGAAGGAACTACTAATCGAAACCATGGGACTTTTACCGGATTTGGTTTCCACAGAAGACACTGAAACAAAAGAACTCGTCACGGGGTTGTTAAAGTTGTATGTGCTTTGAACAGACTAAACGATCTCATCATGCGTTTTTCCACAATCGCTTATGTGTTGGCTGAAGAGGATTTTTCGAAAAAAGAAGAACAAATTGTGTGTTAGCTTTATTGCGACGCAAATCGTTACGATGGCCTAAGGAGGATTTATTGTCCGTTCGGTGTTTCTCGTTCAGCAGCGTTTTTATGTGAAGTGAAGAATTTGCGCTTATTGCCATCTGGTATGGAATGGGTGTTGAGAAAGTCGATCATTAACCCCAAAATGCTGCTGTCTTCTTCGATGAACAATTCGTGTGTAGCAGTCGCTTATATCCTTCATGAAAGGGAATTGACCTCCCTCTCTCTCTCCTCTCTCCTCATCTCTCTCTTCATCTCTATCTCTCTAACTACTCCCTAGTTTTAATACTTATTTCAAATGTCAATTTCCTATCACTTTCGATTATATCGTGATTGGACGTGTTCCTTCTAGAAAACAAAACGATTTACAGTCACTAGAAATGATATTAAAAACAAGAATGTGATAAAAAAAATTTTGATAATATTTGCACTTTTATTTACTGCCCACTGCAATTTCCACGGCACGGTATTATGCGAAATCAGTCACAACGATGCTGAGATCTTCGCAGAACTTGGACTTCCTTTCCGGGGGCTCGCGCATTACCCACCGAGCTACGGAGCCTCTTGCTCTGCGTTTCTCTCAGCTAGTTTTCTATCTATCTGTCTATTAGATAACATTGTTATTTTTATATCAGTCAAACAAAGTATTACTATTGTTATCACGGTGAAGTTACTGATGACGTACTAATTGACTATTTATCTTACTGCTGAACTACTACTTTCCAGATTTATGTCGATCGTAAGCACAAAGTTAGTGCATTGGGTTTCTCGATGTAATTGTCGCGTTTCCCGCTGCTTGACCACAATTCATTCTATTTTCGAATCTCCAGAGGTTTCTCGAAGGGTTTGTGCTTTGCAACGGTTTTCATGTAGAGGACGGATTTGGAACTTCCATAAGTTGTGTTTCGATGTTGCGTTGGGATTAAGCTGCACTTTTTCTGCTTTGAGTTACTTTCCGATTCAACAGTAAGCATTTAGTGATCATTAATCATTTGTCATGGATAAGAAAAGCAGTCGTTCTATGGAAGAACGGAAAGGGACAGCTAAGGACATCGTGATAAAGAAGCGATTAATTTCTTCGGGTTTCGATGGCTATTTGTATCCTCTGCGGTAAATATCGCTTAATGCCTTTCGAAGAATTGGTCCGTTATTGTACCTAGTATATCGTCCGCAGCAATGTCGTTCACAATGACGTCAACATGTTCTGAAAAAGTATAAGACGGACATAAAAGAAGATCCGTTAGTGGAATGGAAATTGCTAACAGATGGTGTTCGAACCTGCGTCATGGAAACCTACTTTCCTATGATGCGATGCTATGTGCAGTCAACAGTCAACAACAGACGCCTTAGGATCTTTTCACGGAAGCCAGTGCGTACGCTTAATCTAGTTGCAATAGTTATTCGAAAGAATCATTGTCGTGCAAACTTTAGAGGATCAAGACAGTAAGTTTCACGTTAGGCTCAAATGAGATTTCTAAAGACGAAGATCGAAAAAAGACTGGTACTTTTTTATTGGGAGAGGAAATTTTCTACTAAGAGTACGATTTTTTCACATGGAGTAGTTACTGTAGTTATGGTTATTAGTGTATCATCCGTCGAACATCATCGTGAATAATCTAGTGGTTATCGCTTGCCTATCTTATAGCGCTAATCATCATTACCAATAGAAATAATGATTCCCGTGACCAAAATGGTGTAAGACTGTCGATTGTAAATTGTCATTTTGTAAAATGAACGAATTGATGTACAATTTAGTCAGCCTCCGGATGCCTTCTTAACACAAAGGTTTTCTTGAGGAAGTCCAATCCCTGAGGCTTAACTGTGTGGACCAAATGGTAGTGGTCTTTCAAGATTTTCATTAAATCTGAGCTGCATCAAATCTGAAAAAGCATTCATTACTGCGGAATCAATTAAAAAACAAGATCCTTTAACCACAATAATGTTGAAATATTTGCAAAATTGGGAACCCAGGCCAACTTCGAATCCGTGATAACCCTTTTCGGCTGCTCATATGCTATCTACCACACCAACTTAGACCCTTGTTTGCCTTTCTCTCAGCCAGTTTTTTTAATCTATCGTTTTCATCGGCAATCACTTGTCAACGAAAATGATTTGGGAAACACAAACGACATTGGATCCAGTTAAGCTGAGGCAGCAGTCGAAATCACAGTGTTTTAACTACTGAGCAGCGGGCAGTAATCAAAAGTTAAGACATTAATGTTGTAATAGTTGAACACTTGCTAACTACAACTGGCGTTGAAAAGGTCCATGTAAATGTACTTCGGTCGTCCAACTATATACTCATGGGAAAAAACTTCAACAAGTAGGCATTACCTCGATGAAGTTTCCTGTCATAACAACATAATGGAGAATACAATCAGACGTTATTGCTGAGGGAACAAACGTATGGACGAATGTCGCCTTTTCCAAGACATTGCTCACGTTCCCAACTGCCGCGACGGATAAATTCGTTAGATTGGAAACGATTTTGGAAACTTAACAAAGATGAAAGAAGTAAGAAGAGTTCTGAGAGGAAATGACAGTTTGCTGCGATTGCTCGATGCAAGAAACTTCAGCAAATCGTGTATTGAGAAGGATTCAACCATGTTTTGATCAATTCTCAAAACTAAAAGCTCGAGTTTGTATGTATGAAAAAGGACTTTGAATAGGAAAACTCGTCCGAATTCACGTTTATATTTTACATCATGCCCTTAATTTTTGTTGTTAAAGAAATTGTTCAGATGGCTGTAGATAAGGGAACGACCACCTAGGACAATAATGCATAGATTGGCAAACAACGCAGCAAACTCGGTGTTGTGCAAACAATGGGCGAATAATAGTAGAAGATAAATATTTAGTCGACGTAAATGTTGTTAGTAGTTCTTAACTTTAATGTACTTTTGGGTGCTTACCGACCCATAAATGGATGCAAATTATTTTTTCTTTTAGTTATTTCTTTTTATACGACCCGTCTTCACATGTGCCGTACGGATTCCAGCACTTCTCACATTCGATTCGTTTCTTCATGCCCGTCATCCGCCAAGGTCATCCAACTTTCACGTGTGGCTTCCACTGCTGCTTGAGGATTTTCATATCATCTTGAATATTGTAGAATGTCAGTCGAATGAATTCTCCCTACAGTCCTGAGATAGCCGGTGTAGAGGGTTCCAAATTGGATTGCAGAGGGTATTTTCGTTTCGGACACGTCCGGTACCGATTTCCGGACCTCTCAGGGGATGAGGAGCCTTGTGGGCCTAAGGGGGGATCGAGCCAGTATCATGCTCATGGTGATCAGCATCGCTACTACAGTGCTATCCGCCCTATATAGTGAATGCAAAAATAACCATTAAGTACGTGACGCTAATTCACTCCAGTCCAATCGTGGCAAGATCTAATTATTTTTTTCATTTTGTGTGGTTTTCTTGAAATACGTGGTTATGGTTGGCGGGAAAATAACATATTTGTCGAATCTTTTCCTCAGTAAAGTGCTATATGCGAGTTCTCAAGAGGAAAACTCGATTAATTTCGTTATTTGACGAACAAAACTGCGTGCTTCTGAACGAATAATTATGCGTAAGAGAAGCGGTTAGTGATGTAGTCCATCAGGAAGCAACGTGCTTGTTCGACCTCCTACCTAGCGTTCTCTTCCACTGCACGCGGGAGCGCCCTAGTTGGTCCGTCTCCAAGATTGGAAGGAGAAACGACTCTACCAGCCTCTTCAACATTCATAAAGAAGACGAAATTCTCGATCAGCTACCGAAACAATACGCGAGATGTTCGAAGACTCTGGAGGCAATGAACGCGAGAAAAACGAATGGAATGGGAGAAGTATTGGGATTCGCATAGTGGACATAATGACGGGTCACGTAAAATAAACTAGTGAACAATATCCTTTAGCTTCGACAGTGATAAAAATCACCTTGGCGGGTTCAGTGGAAAGCATGGCTTTCTTTTTGACTCTATTTCGACTAGCTTCCAGTGGTTTGCACGATTGAGGCTTTAGACGTCAAGGTTTACGGATTCCTAAGACTTTTCCCGAATATCTGCTATGTTAACTTGAATGCTACTTTTGATTTGATCCATTAAATCTTCTTCCTGGTGCTTACCATATAGTGCATACACTATCGATTCATTTGCTTTGAAATATCCTTACGAGTTTCTTGGGTTGTAATTGTAGATGAGGCGATAAGGCTATTTGTAAGTACATCGGCCAATGTAATTTTCTCCGATTCTCAGTTCAAGAGAAAAAGCGGTGCAAATGGGTTTCATTCCCTTTTGTTTTCCTTTTCTGTTTTCCTTCTTAAAAATTGTTGCAGCGACTCAACAATATATCCTCAGTCTTAACCTTTTTATTTACTACCCATTCTTTTTAACGGCAGGGTATTTTGTGAAATATAACTATTGTAATGCTGAGATATTTGCAAAACTCCGGACCGCAGGTGTCTGCGGTGGGGAACGAACGCGCTATTGTCCTTTCCGGGGAGTAGCGCACTTCACCACCACACCATGCGGGTCCTTCGTTTCGCCTGTCTCTCAGCTAGTTCTATTGATCTTTTGCCATCAGCAATCACCCGTCAACGGGATTGATCTGGGGAGCCCAAATCGGCATTGAATCCAGTTAAGTTGAGGTTTAGTTATAATCACAATCTTAACCCTTTTATTTACTGCCTTTTTCTTTTTAATGGCAGGGTATGTTGCGAAATATAACTCGTATATAATGCTGAGATGTTTGGAAAACTCTGGACCGCAGGTGTATGCGGTGGGGAACGAACGCGTTATAGTCCTTTTCGGGGAGTGGCGTTTTTCACCACCACACCATCCGGGTCTTTCGTTTTGCCTGCCTCTCAGCTAGTTCTATTGATCTTTTGCCATCAGCAATCACCCGTTAGCGTAACGTAAGTAATTAAAAGGGTTAAGATTGTGATTATAACAAAGCCTCAGCTTAATTGGGTTCAGTGCCGATTTGGGATCAATAAGATCAATAGAACTAGCTGAGAGACAGGCGAAACGAAGGACCCTCATGGTGTGGTAGTGAACGCGTTACTCACTGGAAAGGACAATAACGCGTTTGATCCCCACCACAGACACCTGCAGTCCGGAGTTTTGCAAATATCTCACCATTACAATAATATATCCTCATTTTAGATCACATGAACTAAAAGAGGACTACTTATATCTTTTTGAACAAATGTACCATTTATTTAGTAACAGTCTAATATTTATATAATGTCGAGCGGAAGGTAAATCAATAAACACAACTGAATGGTGAAGTTTTTCGTTTATCTATGGTGTTGAGCGACCATCGGACAAGAATTCACCAGTCTTCTAGAGTTCATCGGTCCTGTTTCTCCTCAAGGCTGAAAGAATGGGAAGATGAAAGAGATGAAGATGAGAGCTCAGTTATTACCAGATTGATTTTCAAAGTACAGGGAAATGAAAATTAATATCAGAAGTGTACGATTTCATTATGTTAGCACTTCGTGGAAATCGAACAGTCTTAGCCATTAGTTGATTCTGGGACAAAGTTTCTTTACTTCTTCTCCTCTTTTGCGTAGTAAAAACCCGTTGTTGCTAATAGATCTGACCTGGGAACGCCCCAGCACAGCTGCCTTGAGACTACACAGAACTGGAGGCTGAACGATTTCCCATGAAGATTGGTCACCTCGCACATCCATGTAATGGAAGTCTGGAACGTGTGCTTCTTATCGGTGGTATCTAAGTGTTAAGTTGTATGTTAGCTATATGCTCTGAAGTACGTCTTTTTAGAATCCCAAAATAGTGATCGTTTTGTGTCCCTTTATTTCTATATCAACTGTGTAGTCATTCACGGTATTCCTTTACAACCGTCAAGAAGTTTTTGACGAATGACTGATTTCCTTCTCTATTGTTCGTTTCTTCAAAATGAGTCGACTTCCCGTGTGTTCTTGTCGATCGTTGAGACATTAGTTGGACAAGTTTTCAGTCACTTTGAATCTAATATTTGCAGATTTCAGAGTCTGATATGAGTCGATGTACGGTGCCGTGGTAAGGACTACCATCGTAGAGGGCATGGAGGTGAGGTTAGACAATCGAGGAAAAGTTTGAAGAAGTTGAAATTAGATAGAGTTGAGGATTTTAATAAAGTTGAAATGGCGTCTTTTGTGCTTGTGTAGTAAGCTGTCACCATAGAGATCTTAAAGTTATTAATGCCAGATAAAAGCGCTTAGCTAGCGATCAGCAGTGGTTGCCAAGCCAATTCCTGTATGTGAAATCCGGATTGTTAAGAATGGTTAGCAATCGGCAGATTTTTGTGTAATTTTGACAATTTGGCAATTCGGTCTTTGGCCATTAAGTGTCCTTTTCATGTTCATCTATTTCCTTTATCATTTTATTAAATGATGGATTTTTCTTGTAATTCTTTGTTCATCATGGATGAACAGGTTATTGAGACATTACCAATGATTATCAATTCTATCACCACGTGGTCCCTCATTTGATAATAGCCTTTCGCAACATTGTAACTGGGATATATTCCCTAGGGTAAAAATGCGACCTACAAGTGTAAGTTGTCTCAGCGGGTTCATCCGTGCTGGCGTATTCGATATTTTCATTCAGAACCCTTGTGAAGAGTAAACAAGTGCCAGGATTTATTATCGTGCGAGAGAAATCTGGTTGCATTGTGGGTAAGTGTCTGGATCCATAAAACAAGTGACTGTCCAACACACTCGGTCGCAGTTTTCGCTGAACTCGAATGTAAAAACCTCCTGAAATCAGCACCAAGGCGGTTATATGGAGAACTTTCTAGGAGCCCCATGATTCTTCATGAGGTCAGTTCAGTCGTTGGTCAAGTGAATTATCGTTTGACGTGATGACGCACTGCTTCACATTCTGTTCTACTACGTGGAGCCACAGTTGTATGTTCACTGTTTTTATACAGACCAGCTAACTATGTGCTGATTTGTATGGGAGTAGACAACGTCTTCATACTGGTTCAAAAACCTCGTTCTTACACGTTTACTTTTTATTTAAACCGGCCAGTTTCAAGTCGAAGGCTTAATTCAGTTCGATGAGAGTCACTTTCAGACTAATTACGACTCTACTGTCGGATTATTAAGGTTGATCGTCGTGGAACGAGTTCACGACGCGGCAAACGTTTGGCTGCGCAATCGAAAACGCACCCGACTATACAAGCAAAGCAAAATCAGGTTCTTCTTTAACTCAATCTAATCTTCTTTTCTTAGAAAAATGATGACTTCCACGTTTTTTTTCCTACCCCGGTTTGATATTCGATAACTGAACTTTCAAAACCGAATTTTTTAACCATAGCTAAGCTTGAAATACAAATGTTTAAGAATTTTTTCTTGCTTTTGCAAAAAAAATTGTGATGGCTGGGTTCCGCGAGTCCTATCGTAATTCTTTGTTCCTGTGTTTTGAACAAGTTTCCCGGTTATGGCGCAGTAGACTACAGTGCAGCCAATCGTCCGTCTTAGGTGATTCGTATCATCAAGAGCACATCGTTTAAGAATTAGGTTTGAATTGCCTACGTGCCATATGTCTTTGTGAACTTCTCAGCTGGGAATTTCACTGCTAACCTTCCCGCCAATTCTCAAGGCTGTTGAGTTTTTGTCTAGTGCGCGAAAGTTTATTGTTCTACATTAGTTGGACCGTTTCTTTTCCGGAATACTAGCAAGTCGAGTGATTTTCTCATTCTATTCGTATGGTAATAGTAGGTATTTTCAACGGCTATCCTTATACTACATAGCTAAAGTGCTGAGTCTCATGATTTTTCTGGATAATAAAGAACCTGTATTTTTAGATGTATTTAATTACGACGCTTGCTCCAGCTCCTAGTGAGCAAGCTCTTATCAACAAGGCATTACCAAAGGAACTACTTTTACGGTTAGTTTGACACGGTTATTCTATTGGTCTACGTAAATTTTGGTTTTTATTTCAATTCTATCTCTTGTTTCTGGCTGCCTTTAAATTCGCCAATGTTTTGAATTATAGCATATTACATTCAAAATAAAATATAGAAGCAATACAACGATTTTAATACTAATCCTTTCGCGATCATGCGCATCGATCTCAACTTTTACACTGTTGTACGTTTCGGACCGTACATCTTGTTTTCAATGCGCATATCAGGTGCGCCTCAAATGGCATGCCGTTCGAGTGTGAGAGGGCTGAAATTTTTGTATTGTAACGTATATTTAATGCACACGGTTGGCTAAAATTGCTTCTCTTTTAGCATTTCTCCGTAGAGACATTAGCTTTTGTTGAGATAAGATCTTGTCGACTCTTCGCAGTCAATTTATGGCTTGTCGTCTACCGATTTCATGTTGAGGCTGGTGCGTAAATAGGTATTCTCAGTCAAACTTGCAAAAATCCATTTCCGACGGTGGAGTGGAATCCTTGGATATAGAGAACATGAAACAGGTACAGAAATACGCTTCAAATATCACACAAAACCATTCGGAATGCTAGTAACTTCATGGTTAGACAATGGACAGATCTTTCTCCTATCACACACAAGAAGACTTCGAACATGGAATCATACAGAAAGAAACATGGCGGGTACGTAGAACTTAGAGAGAGGTGGAAAAATCTGAGAGAGTCGAAAAATAGAAGGATAAGCCGTAGGAAACCTGTGCTGTGTGTTGTGCCTCTTGCACGGGCTCGTGGACCGTACGTCTTCATTTCAATGCGCGTTCCGACGGGCCCGACACGCGAAAATGCCCGCGGTCGCAAAAAGGTGAAGACATTAGGTCGATTATGTGGATTTCGGCGTTTTTGATAAATTCAGAAGGAGGACTTATTATTCTTCTATGTTATACTTCTAGTCCTTTATTTTAAACAGTTTCAAGACGATCGGGTAATACGAATTTGGTAAGATTACCTAAATGCATTCGTGTTCTTACAACTGGTTTCTGGTCCTTTTTTTAAACTTTATTTCACTCTCCACCGGTATCAGCATTTGTATGCAGGACTTCGTCAAAGGCCTTTTTGCTTCGTTTCTGCGTTTCTTCTTAGGGATTTCTGCCTGCATTCCGCCAATGTTTACCACTCTGTTGCTGTGCTCGCCTCAGGAATTTAACAACCTTATTTTCAAGTCGATAATTGTATTAAATCTTTTTGAACGTCTTCTCTGGAATCTTTTTCCCATTTTCCGGTTGACCTTTGTTTCAATTTTGTCCCTGAGAACGAAATGAAGCAAACATTTTCGCGTATCTTTCTGGATTAAATTTGTACGTATCCCTATTTTCCTCGTCTACGTATATACAAATAATCCAGGCAAGTCCTAGAGCTTCTTGATTGACGTAGCTTCTATTGCTGTAAAGTATTTTCTATCTTCAGTAATTCCCAACTTCTTCCATACGCCACCGAATTGCTACATATCAAGATTTGTACTAAAACGCTTCTAATAAATTTTAGGAAAGTGTGTATACAAGCATTGGCCAACCTCTCCCTCTACTAACCGACTTTACGCTGAAGGTTTTTTATCCTTTTATCTTCATCTTCATCTATGATTCTCTACGGCTCATAGGAGCGCGTGTAGTGAGGTAGACAGGGGCGTCCTGCAATACACGTGGGATCGATCCTGCGCCGCAGGACTATCAAGCTCTCCATCCCTTCGGGGCCGGTAAATTGGTACCGGATTTGTTTGGGAGGATAACAGCACTGACTGGATACATAGGTAGGCCACCGTGAGTCATTATAAAGGCTAGATATGAATTCAATCACCTCCAAACGATGCTTAGTGAAGTCGAATGCATGGCGAATCCCTCAGGGATTGATCAATGCCGCGAGCTTTTTCCTTTATCCTTTTATCGCTTATAGATGTGTACCAAGTAGTCCGTATAAGTCATTTGAATAGATTATCCATTATGTGGGTTTCAAGGCTTATCCATGTTCCGCCTGTGTGCCTTCAACGCCAATGTTCGACTTCTGCAGTCCAGTAACTATCTCATGTGGCTCGTGCCTTTCCCTTTTGCGTCCTCTTCACACTCTGTCTGTCATTCGATAGATCTGTTTCCGTAGATGAGTGCATGAAATAGTTCTAGATCGCAACGGTGGTTTAGCCAATTTCCACTTTTCTCTTGTTTAAGTGAACAACTCATTCTCAAATTCATAAACACTTTTATATATTTTTTCTTGGTCCTTTCCACCAAATTGGCTTTCATTCCTTGTTTCCAGGGTAATCAGGGTACTATTAGTGCTTAGGAACATTTCAGGATTTTCTCTTATCTCGATATGAAGACGTTATGTCGATGTGCGCAAGCTTGCCGCTTGTGGAATGTGCTCGCACTCGACGGCTCAAATTGGCAACGGGTCGATTTGTTCACATTTCAGAAAGACGTTAAAGTGGGTCATCGATCTAAAGAGCAAATAATAATTAAAGGCATTATTTGCGTTACAGTGAACTTTCGAAACAGCTGTTCCAATTCTGCCTTATAATTTCCTGTTGAGCATATGCGTGACAATGCGTAGAACATGCGTCGGAAAATTAGTCGCATTTCCATGTTCTAGCCGTCTCAGAGAGCAGGCGTAATTGCGATTATGTTGAAGATGGAAACTACCCGACATTCTCCATTTCTATTTGATTCCATAAACCAGTTATCTAAAATAATATGCGAAAGAAAGGCTGAGAGAAAGGCGAAACGAAGAACTCGCATGGTGTGGTGGTGAACGCGTTAGCCCCCGGTAAAGATAACAACGTGTTCGGTCCTCACCGCAGACACCAGCGGTGCGAAGTTTTGTAAATATCTCAACATCACTGTGCTTAAAACAATATAGTTACAAAAATTAATCACTACAAATTGATGTGTTTGGGTGTTATCTTAGCGTGCAGTAATCACTTAAGGCAGCTACTGTTGAGAACCTTGCTCGTCGTTGTGGTGGATTCTTGAAGAAACTTTCACTGAAAGGATGTGAAAACATACAGGTGTGTTATAGAAAGAACAAAAAGCACTTCCATAGATACTGACGATTTAATCACCTTCTTTGTAACATTCTTAAAATTATATACATAGGAGAGGGGTTAGCTATGAGGGCTATATTTGTAGCCTTGCAGAGGGTTAAGTTTTCTCGTTACAGGATTCTGCATTGCGATCGTTCACAGCAAAATGTGCTAACATTGAGCATTTGAGTTTGTACAAATGTAAACGAGTGACAGATGCGTAAGTTTTGTTTTACACATTCATAAAGTGGAGCTTTTGCTATCTTCAGAACGAATGGTCAATTATTTATTTTTACTGGTCCGATTCTGTGTCCAATAAACAGAACGTGAGGAAAATTTTATGTTTTTCCAATTTCTTTCGAAACTAGGGAAAAGCTATGAAGATGCTGAGAAGTTGATCTAAATGAGTATTTAATGAATTGAAAAGTAATGAGGACGAAAATAGTTTTTCAAATGTGGGTTCACTAACACTTTGTAACTTTTAAATTCCCTGAAACTTCCAACGGATTACCGCCTCATCATGAGTAGAAGGTGTTCCTGGGTGACGGGCTGCGATGTACAGCGGTGGGATTCGTCTCCCTGGTAAGGTCTCCCAAGCTGAGAAGGAGTCCAGCGTTTCCATCAGGAAACTTAGCTAAGCGTAAACCAGTACCAGGATCCACAACCGTCCTGGTATCAAAGTCGCATGGTGGCAAATCTCTCTTTGATCCACAAGAGCTGCGACTGCCTGTGGTGATGACAACCTGGGGCAGACTTTGGCCACGCTGACCTCTCGGCTCAGGGAACCACAATGATTAAGCCAGCAAAACTCCAAAAAAGTGGAAATTGCGTTGGGACCCACACAACCATTAAGGAAAGCCATCAAAGTATCCGAGTATATAATCTTTACGTTTTAAACTGTTGAATAGCATTTGGTGAGTTCATTTTTGTAATTGAGTTGATTTCCAGGACCTGCGAGAACCTCGGTAGGCATTGTCACAAATTGGTTCATTTGAATCTGGAGAACTGTACGGCCATCACTGATCGAGCACTTAGACACATTAGGTGGGTGTGTTATTTTCTACTTGATTCTTTCGTAGGTACTGTGCATTCACGAGTAATACCGAGTTCTAATTCTGCCTGTTTCTATCTGTAACGTATTGTTTAATTCTAGGAAGATATAGAACTTCCATAGGTTTGGTTCTAACGTGTACAGACATATGTTTTAACCACAATGATACTGAGATATTTGTAAAACTCCAGACCGCAAGTGTCTGCGGTGGGGACGAACCCGCTATCACCCTTTCTGGAGGCTGACGCGTTGACCACCACATCATGCGGGTCCTTCGTTTCGCCTGTTTCTCGGCTAGTTTCCTATCTACAAGTGCTAGGCAGGCTAACTGAAATTGGAAGACTGAAACAAGTTGAGAGACAGTCGAAACGAATGGTCAGCATGGTATGATAGTGTGATGGTGAACGCGTTAGCCTCCAGAAAGGGTAATCGCACGTTCGCTCCCTACCGCAGACACCTACAGGCTGGAATTTTGCAAATATCTCAGCATCATTGTAGTTGTATTTCACATAATACCCTGCCGTGAAAAATTATAGTAGACAGCAAGTACTAAGTTAACATATATGTTTTAATTTCAGTGATGGTTGCCCGAACTTGCAGTATTTAAATATCAGCTGGTGCGATAATATCCAGGATAAAGGTGTACAGATGGTTTTAGCGGGTTGTAAAAATCTTACCACTTTAATAATGAAAGGATGTGAAGGAGTAAGCTGAAACAACTGAAGGAATTTACTAGTTTCGCCCTCAACAAATGAACATCTTTCAGCTAACTGAGCAAGTCTTCGCAAATTCTATTGATCACATGAAGAATTTAGAAGTGATAAACCTACTATCGTGTTTCGTAAGTTTTAGCGTTTAATCTGTGAGCTCAATTAGAAAGAAGATCATTCTCGACTCTTTTCGGTTTCTTAATTTTTTCTTATAAATCTTTGAAACTTTAAGGCAAATGATGAAACCGTTGCTCATATAGCTCATGGCAGTCCTCACCTGCAGTACCTGTGCTTGTCAAATTGTACTCAAATCACGGACCGGTCTCTAATCTCACTATCACAGGGTTGTAAAATGTTAACGTGAGCATCGAAGTTTTCTTTTAGCTTCGAATATTTTTATTGATTCTCTTTTTCCTTTGGATTTCGTCTATTGTGCAGTTTCACTGCTGGTTCTGTCTTTGAAACCATTTTTTTTCGACAGTTTGACAAATGCTTTTGCTTTACTCGGGTCTTAATTCTGTACATGAATAAGTTGTATTTTTTGTATTCTAGACATACGTAATTTGAGGTCATCAGTGGTGCAGTGTGTAATACGCGTGCCCTTAAAAAGAGTAGTTGTGGTTCGATCCGACTCGGGGTCCAAGTTTTCCAAATATCTCAGCATCGTTGTGGCTATAAGTAATTTGTTTTTTGGATTTGGAAGATTGCAACGTTTGCTGATGGCTGCAGTGGATAGAAAACTAGCTGAACTTAAGGCGTAACGAAGGACCCGAATGGTGTGGTGGTGAACACGTTAGTCTCCGGAAAGGGTAATAGAGCATTCATTCCCCTCCGCAGACACGTAGGGTCCGGAGTTTTGCAAAAGGCTCAGCGTCATTGTGGTTGTATTTCATATGATAACCTGCCGTGAAAAATTGTTGTAGGCAGTAAATAAAAAACAACATTGTAAGTAATTAGTACCAATATTAAAGAATTTTAAACATTGGTTGTACATATGACACATTGCTGTTTCCAAATTCATTTATGAAGACCATATTTCTTCGTGATTTTCAGAGATGTCGAACTGTCGGGCTGTAGCCTTCTTACAGACGCTGGCTTCATACAGCTGGCCAGGCACTGTAAGGGTTTGGCGCGAATGGATTTGGAAGACTGCAGCCTTATCACAGATGCCACTATCCACTCACTTAGCACGAATTGTAATGGTCTTTCCGAGTTGGTAAGCATAGCTTAACTACTGGCTAATCCATAGCTATGTCGCTTTCCTACTTTTTAGTTCTCTATTACTATATTTATATTCTCTATTTATATACTTCCCTATTTGCACTTATAAGATGCGCATGTGGTGCAGTGATCAGAAGTGCTCCGCAGTACACACATGGGATCGATCCCCAGCTACTGGCTTGCCAAGCTCTCCATCCCTCCGGGGTCGGTAAATTGGTACCACACTTGTCAGAGAGGATAGCACTACTGGTTCGATACATCGGTAGGCCACCGCGACTCATCGTAAAGGCTAGGTATGCATTCAGTCACCTCCAACGATGCTCAATGAAGTCGAATGCGTGGCACGTCCTTCATGGAATGATCAACGCTGAAAGCTTTATCTCTTATCCATTTATTGCTACGTTTGGATATATTTGCTCTTATCTTTATTCTTTTTGCAACCACAAAGCCGCGCAATGTGTACGTACACACCACGTAGGGCGAATTGTAACCACTTTTGTGTTGGACAATAGCGGTGTTTACTCTCTTTTATTGGCTTTGTTTTCAGAGTCTTTCCCATTGCGAGTTAATTACGGATGAGTCTATTCATTGTCTTTGTACCAATAACAAGGACAAGTTGCAGGTATGTGGTTTCTCTCCTTGCTAATGGCTTCCTCTTCAAATACTTGAATGTTTATCCAAGTACAGTTTCCTTTCTATTCTGTTTATGTGTGGTTGTGTCAAATATAAGTTTTCATTCATGACACACGTCACACTTCGGGGATTTTTGTTACTTTCCAACATGTTTTAAAGCATCTCGGGTTCTTCATGCTCTGCCTATTCCAGGTTTTGGAGCTCGATAATTGTCCACAGATTACCGATTCTGCTCTTTCACATATGCGGCATGCCAAAGCACTGAAACGTATCGATTTATATGATTGCCAGAATATTTCGAAGGAAGCTATTCAGAGGTTTAAGGTCAGTCCTGGCTTCCTTTACTTCCTATCTCGTCTTCTGTTGGTGTATTTGATTATTCTCTTAGGTGGTCTCTTAGAGTGTATTTCTTATAGTCTTGTTAGCCGACTCTCTTGTTTGTTCCAAATTTCCAAATTCTTTCTTTTGGCTGAGTTTTCAGGGCTTTGTACTTCGCATGAGGGGCGTCTATAGCGTAGTGGTCGGAGGCACCCTGCAATACACATGGAATCGCTCCCGCACGCTCCCGGTCCACCAAGCGCGCTTTCTCCATCCGGGGCCAACAAATTTGTACCAGACGTGTCTGGGAGAATACCAGCACTGGCTCGATACATCGGTGGGCCACAGTAGGCCACAGTAAGCCATTGTATGGGCCAGATATGCATTCACTCACTTCCAACGATGTTTAATAAAGTTGAATGCATGGCGCACCCTCAGGGATAGATCAACGCCGAGATATCCTTTTTTATCCTTTATACTTTGCATTATCTTCTTATCTTTCTATATTTTTTTTATCATTGCTGATATTTCCGTCACTTTTTCACTATTGTTATTATTTTTCTTAGCACCATCGACCACACGTTGAGATTCACGCGTACTTCGCTCCTGCTACTCCACCGACTAACCAGTCCACTACTCGGGCAGGTAACTTCGTATTTATTATTGATTGGATTGTTCATAATGATTCTGCTTTTGTATTTCAGGTCTTTGTCGATGTTGTGCGATTTTATGACTAAACATATGTGTCCCGTTTTTAGTCGTTGTTCTTCGTCTTACACTTGTTTTCCGATCTTGAACTTGTCGTCGTTGTAAAGCTTTCGGCACATGTTCATTGCTATTGACAATTGCTGTTGATTAGCAGAACACCATTTTCCATACCCTTTCGATTTTGAAGGTTAAGGTCATAGAAAATTCATAATGATTAGTTGGAACCATGTTGCTTCATTCGGTCTGCGGTATGCATCTTTTATGGAAATTTATTCATGAAGGGGAAATTAGACTCCGTGAGAATTTACAAGTATTTGTATGCGCTCTTTACCGTGGTTAAGAATCATAAGTGAGTTGAAAATTGGGTTTTTTTTTCACTCGAAAGTGCTAAAAGTCGTTCTAGCTTTTCTCTTCATATTGGGAGTTTTCTATGGTTTTTATTATCTCTTTCAAATGGATTCTTGCGGATGCTAGAGTTGTCCAAGAGTTCTGTTTTGTGCCGAATATTATGGAAAGATCTAGGCGGGTAATCAAAGCGTCAGATATCGAATGATTGTATATTGTGTATATAAAACTAATTTGTTGCAGCATACGCTTTAAAAAGGGCTATGAGACTATGTTCTACGATCTATCTCAGGGTTAAGAATATGGCACTTATTCAGTCGGAGTTATGATTTGAGTTTTCTATGACCTTGGAATGTTTGTAGGTTGCAATGGGTATTGTACGTTTGTGAGCGTATGTTCTTTCACTTTTCTATGCACGAAATTTTCACCAGTGTTTTCCTAACATTTTTTGCCTTCACAACGAGAATATGCCGTTTCTGCTAGGATCCACCACCATCACCACCTTCCTTGATGTTCGATCTGACCATTATTCCGCTCATCGACGGCCAAAGACACTAGTAGTGGAACTATACCATATGTAAATACACTGTTAACTACCTCAATGTAATTGTTTATTATTTAGAACGAGCAAAAAAATGTGTTATTTTCGCCGTTGGTATCCTTTGATATCTTGATTGCCTCGTTTAGCTTTTGCCTGGCAGCTTGTAAGTGTATTGAATTGATTTTCACTAGGTTTTAAACTCCATTACCGAACGATTCCTATCTGTAAGACTGTTCACATGACCCTAGAAATCTTCTCGTTTTGTTTTTCTTTCGTTTTTAATACAATGCTTTATTGATCAAACCATCCTTTTCTATGAGAACATTCACTTTTATTCTGCAATTCCTTGTGAGGATGGTTCAGTTTCTGGCACTTTTCTAACGCTTGAAGTGAAATCCGAAGCAGATGTGAGTTTTCTTGCTTCCATCTACCCTGTATCGATCATGTCTGTCCGATTTCTCACGTGCCATCTGAACTCGCACCGTGAGACAATACGGAAGAGTTTCTGATCGTACTGTACATGTTGTTGTGATCAGTGTAACCTTTTTTCTCTTGAGAATGAAATACCCATAACGATTTTTAGTCATATTCTCGTTTTTTTTCCTGTAGGCTCCTCTATCTTTCGGGCTTATCGCCCTGGGTTTTTATCTGCGTAGAGAAAAATCGAAGGATGACCTGGCCTCTCTGTGTCGTGGATTGCGCGATTACCTTCTTCCACAGCGTTGCAATTCTTGTTCTATGTTTCCCTTTGTTCTTCGTTTGTACAAAACCTCTTCAATTCATGAAATCAAATGTTATACTGGTGTAACGTAGCTACGAGTTTTGTTCTCTTTAGACTCTGCATACAGTTACTAACGGAAGTGTTGAGAAGTATTCATATTCTCCTATGGGAAATAAAGAATCTTCCAGGAAGAGAACGCCAAGTTGCGTGATCAGTTTATATGTTGATGTTGGTGGTAGCATATTCCTGTTGCATTTATTTCAGTATATCACTAAGTCTGTGCATAGTGACTTGTGTGGTGAGCAGACGAACAATTCAGACAAGTTTGACGTCCCTAGGCCGACCGCCGAAGCGTCAAACACTGCGGAGAATTGACGAAGCTGCAAACACGTGCCTGTTACAACACCATACTGTAGCGCCTCTAAATGTTAAAGTTGTACACAAACAATTTATTTCATTTATTATGTTACAGAACAGACGATTTGAATAGAGTGGGAGTGGCGTCTAGGAAGTTCAAGATTTGTAAGTAAGGTGGACGTTTGATGTTCATTAGTATTGAAATCCTAACTGCTTAGTACTGAAGTCAATGGTATTGATATATATGAACGTGGCGATACCCGTAGTGAATGATTTACGAGATCTCAGAAAATGTGCTATTTCGATATGTTCAGTATTATGAGATGATTTTAGAGATATAGATAATGGCTTAGTTTAGTTCGTTATCCATGTTGTCTAGTACAGATTCGCTAAATCTATAAAAACGATCGGGTCTGTTCAGCTAGCTATTTACTCATAGACATTACCCTAGAATATTACCCTAGAATTTACACCTATTATTAAGTAGACCCATCTTTTTTATACCAATGAGTGCAAAGCTGTTCCTTACTGGGAACATGGTTATGAGCTCTGAAGCTGATGATTTAGTAATGAACCTATGAAGATAATCAGATGGAATTGAATGAAAAGGAAATTGCACGCCACTTACTGGTGTGTTGGGAAAGCGTAGAGGATGTCAACAACTAGCAAAACAAACACTGCTATGCACAATTGCGGATGTTCGACGATTCAACGGACGGTCATCTGGGGTTGCTCACGGTCCTGACGGTTTTTGGAGCTGAACATGGCGATACACGACGAGAACCAGTCGTTTCGGAAGCAGTTGGCCCGACATTGAGCACGCAGATTAGGAGCCTCATGCGAGAACATCTCGTGACAAAGCAGACATATTTGATCCATGACATGATGAACAGGCGGCATACGATAGACCTGGAAAAGCTCTCACGTACGATTCGCTTCAATATCGGCTTCGTTCAATGCATAATTAATACTTCAGTTTATCGATAACCTTAAATTGGATTATAACCACAACGATGCTAAGATATTCGCAAAACTTGGTCCCCGGGCCAGATCGAGCCACGATTTTCCTTTGCGTGAGCTCGCGCATTACACACTGCGCCACTGAGGCCTTTACTTTGCCTTTCTCTCAGCTAGTTTTCTACATAGCGCTGCCATCATCAATCACCCATCAGATCAGATTGTTACGAAATTTTATTGTAGCTGACGTTTTAGTACATAGTCTTGTTCAGAACTGCAACGGTTGAAGTAGGGTGTCCAAAGCAGTGTCCATCCTTGTGACATCACTCTTCGTTCTTGCATCGAGTCGAATCGAGTGTTGTGGAGTACTTTTAGGTCTTAGTTGGCTCCCTTCGTTAAGTAAATGATCACGGTGAGGATTTTTGTAAGTCTTTTTTTAAAACATATTCGGTGGGAGAGCCCCGTGGGTTCTTTGCTGGCTGTGCCATTAAATAGGTTCACTCTTTACTCAGCATCCAGATGAAAATGTTGGACTCTTCAGACTTAGGTGAATCTGATGGAGCATGTGCACTGCGATGAAGGGGGCCACTTATGTACAGCTTGGCCACAATGAGAATGATGAAGCGTTAAGGGTATGACAGTATGCATTCAAATGATCTAGAATTTCACTAAGACTGACAAATATTCCTAATTTTTGTTTTTTTATGAAGCATTAACTAACTTTGCATCTTTTCTCCTGCGTGTCCGTTTTCACCAATTCTTCAGTGATGACTGGATCGAGTAGCACGAACAATATAAGTATAAGGAGAGAAAAACGTTCCATTATCTGGATGGAATATAGTGTTCTTTAAAGAAGCGAAAAATAGAATAGCATCCTCTACTTTGTCTTTTATGAGAATTGAAAGCGGTGAAGAGTATGAAAGATTTGGACATAGCTATGAACCAGTAAATTGTTAAAATGAAACAGCACTTAACGCAACAGATCGAATACTCAACACTTCCGATTGTCATTTTAACTAGGTGGCGGGTGGGGATTGACCACAGAGAAATGACGACTATGTACTGAGAATCAGGTGAATTCGGAGAGTGGACTACCTGTCACTGCTGCACCATTTTGTTTGGTATAGCTACTCCTAACGGTTGTTATTGTTACTGTTGGGGTGTGTATAGCACAATGGTCAGAAGTGCCCTCCGATATGCACATGTTCTTTGGTTCTATTCCGCGCCCCAGGCTCACTAAGCCATTCTCTCTGATGTTAGTAAACTGGCACCAGACTTGTCTGGAAGGGCAGTAGCACTGACTCCACACATCGGTAGGCCACCTTAAGTCGTTGTCTAAGAGAGAGATGCATTCAGTCACCTCTAACGATGCTTGATGGAGTCGAATGCACGAGTATATTATATTATTGTATTATTATATTATTATATTAATATTATTATTAGCAGTTATTATTGTTGTTGTTGTTGTTGTTCCACGTTGTTGTCAGCTGAAACTATTGAAACAGTTGGATCTTACAGCCAACAGAAGTTTCTTCGAAATTTGGAGATCAGTTAGCCATAAGACTAAAGTTGCAATTTCTTTTTCCCCTGTTACCAAACTGACTTTCACTTGACTTCGGCGTGAATAAATCACTTTCAGTTGTTCAGCTTCTACGGGGTTGTGGTATTAATTTCATTCGGTTGACGTTCCGCCGTCTTCGTTTTCTGTCTTTCGATGTCTTCATCTTCCTCAGAGCCCAGAGCCGAAGATCGAGTCGATGGTCTCTGAGGAAGATGAAGGCATCGAAACCTTAGCCGAATAAAACTTGTATAAAAACCTCTCATATGGTGAACAATCTTCGTTTTTTGAAGTTATCGGCTTTTTCTCACATTCGCATGCATGCACACTCGCATCTGAGTCCTCGGTGGAAGGCTTGATCATGCACGCAAGAAGGATAAGGTACGCCATCTACGACACCGGAGAAGAACTGTTCCTCGGAACATGCAACAGTAGAGGAGTCGGCGGCGTCGGCGCTCTCGTCAACACGAGTTTGTACATGAACATCGGTTCATTCGAACAATCAGCAACCAAAATCGGACGCTTATGATTAAAGAGATGTGGATCAATATCGGCTTTGACAATCTTCGCATCTACGCACCGACATCAAGCTATGACGAAGACGAAGTTCAGGCATTCTATATGGACTTGGAGCGATTCTATAGGGAAGAGCATTCAATCTTTAAGGACAGCCTTGGAAATTTTAACGCTAAGATTAGACCAAGAAGAAGGTCAGATAAGTAGGGTGAGCGGTTGACTGAGTTTATCACGAAGACCATGACCATTCGTGGTAAAACGTAATTCGAGAAGCCCCACTCTCAAGGCTGGGACGTGGGATTCTTCCAGTTGAGAGTACCATAACGAAACAGACTACATCGTAGTAAATCGAAGGTTTTGTCTAACCGATGTTGCTGTTGTACCTAAATTTTACACTGCATCAAACCATCGACTCCTTCGTCCAGAATTTCATGGAGAGCCGATAACTTCAAAAAACGAAGATTGTTCACCATATGAGAGGTTTTATACAAGTTTTATTCGGCACCTCCACTTTGTTCATTCGACTCTTCTTTTGAAAGGAAATTGATGAGTTCTCTAGCCCAGGGAATTTTTTTTCCGTTTTGTCAATTCTTTGATTCCTTTTTTCGGATCAACTGAGCACACTTAAGGTCTTATGTGTACCAATTTTTTTTAAAAAGTATTACTGTATTGCTTAAAATGCAGAGAAGTTCGACGCTAGTAATAAGGTCTCTGTTTTGTACTAAG